TATAGTCTTTGCATTAAGAGCAAAAGCTATTGTGTTGTCTCAGAGCCTGTTTTTGTTGAGTTTTACATTAGGGGGAGAAGTATCATATTTGTGCATGACATCTGGGAACTTTAACCGCTTCCCCTGTGACCCTGAACACAAGATTATGGCAACTGTCTGGCATGCTGGCTCCAAATATGTTTCCAAGGTACTGCTCTTGTTGTCTGGAAGTGAGTGCAGTGAAATTATTTTAACAAGCATGATGGGTGCGTCTCTGAGCCCACACTTGATCAAGACATCAGCATGCGTGGCTTCCCCATCTGCTCACTGCAGCCACCTGAGCTCCGTCATTGTCATGACTGCCCTGCCCTCTACCGGCAGGCCACCTCAGCCGGCTGGACGGCATAGAACTGGCCAAGTCCTCCCACTCATCCGCACCCATAGAAGCTCCCGCGTCGGCGGGTGTTGGACGGTCGGTACTGAAAACCTCGCGGCGCCATGCTGGGCCGCGGCCGGGGGCGCGGCGCGCGCACACCGCCCCGCTCCAGCAGCGGCCGCGTCATCAAGCAGAACGCCAAGTACGGCGAGATCCAGGGGCCCGTGTTCGAGCGCGTGGTGCAGCGCATTGTCGGCCCCGGACCGCTGACGGACGGTGAGCGGCGAACCGACGGGAGGGGGGGGGGGGGGCTGGGGTGACGGTGTCCGTGTGACAGCTGCAAACCTGGGATGACAGTCCGTGTGACAGGCAGACTGGGGTGGCGACCCGTGCGAAAGCGAGGCTGGGGGCTGCGGGACTGGGCAGCGGGATCGAAGCTGAAGAATGCTGATGTGCCGAGGGTGTTTCTGAGTAAAGGGAGCCACGTCGCAAGATCGTTTTGGGCGTTAAGCAGGCTACTGCACCAGAGTATGAAACTCAGTCAAGATGAGCATTAGCCATTAGACTCGCCTTTTCGTGAATCTCATCACAGACTTGCGATCATTATCGTTGACCACTGCGAGCTTTACCAGGAGCATAGCTTACAATCACACCCAGAAGAAGGTGTTCTCGCCAGTGGCAGACATACCCCGGGGGCCAGACGGTGTCTCGTGGTCCGAGCGCGTGCTCCGCTCTGAGGCCGCTGTGCCCATCCTGACGCGCCCTCACCCGCTCCCCAGATGACTCTGACTCAGAGTCGGCGGTGCTTGGCGCGTCGGAGGAGTCCAAGGACCAGTCCAGAGTCCAGCAGGTCAGTTGCGCCGCCGCCCAGGTGCCCGCCGCGACCGGGCGCCCGCAGCAGTGCTGCCATCTGTCGGGGGTTGCCTATAGAATGTGGTGCTGCCATCTGTGTTTCGTTCGCAAGTGGTTTGCTTCGGCGCAGGCTGCCTGCATGGAGATGGAGAAGAGCTATAGCACTGTTAATAAGTGCATTTCAGTCTGTACGGGCTGCTGCCTTTCCTGTTGACCTGCGGTGACCTGCAGTGACCTGGGGTCCATGGCAGGCTGGGCCCGGACCTGGACCACGATGACGTCAGCCGCTGCATGGTCTGCTGGTCGCACTGCACGCCGGCGCCGGCCGCCGCCGAGGCGTACAACCGCCTGAACCGCTACCTCCGCCACATGGCCGCCGACTCGTCACCCGCACAGTTGGTTAGTGGCCGGGGGGGGGGGGGGGGAGAGCGAGGGGGCGTACACAGTCTGCTGCTGCTCCCGGCTGGTCAGCGGCCGGGGGGAGAGGGCGAGGGAGCGTGCACAGCCTGCTGCTGCTCCCGGCTGGTCAGTGGCTGGGGGGGGGGGGGGGGGGAGAGCGAGGGAGCGTACACAGCCTGCTGCTGCTCCGGCTGGTCAGTGGCCGGGGGGGGGGGGGGAGAGAGAGCGGGGAGCATACACAACATGCTGCTGCTCCCGGCTGGTCGGTGGCCAGGGGGGGGGGAGAGAGCGAGGGAGCGTACACAGCCTGCTGCTGCTCCCGGCTGGTCAGTGGCTGGGGGGGGGGGGGGAGCGTACACAGCCTGCTGCTGCTCCCAGCTGGTCAGTGGCCGGGGGGGGGGGGAGAGAGCGAGGGAGTGTGCACAGCCTGCTGCTGCTCCCGGCTGGTCAGTCTGGGGGGGGGGGGATGGGGCGTACACAGCCTGCTGCTGCTCCCGGCTGGTCAGTGGCCGGGGGGAGAGAGCGAGGGAGCATACACAGCTTGCTGCTGCTCCCGGCTGGCCAGTGGCCGGGGGGAGAGAGCGAGGGAGCGTACACAGCCTGCTGCTGCTCCTGGCTGGTCAGTGGCTGGGGGAGAGGGGAGGGCGTCCATAGCCTGTCGCTGCCCCTGGCTGGTTTCAAGACAAAGGCGGCATTGCGGCACGGATAGCCGCCGGACAGCCCGTCCCTGCGGCTGCAAATGCTCGTTTTAACACGTAATCCCCCCGGTGCGATGTCGCGACGTTCGTGACCGCTTCGCCGGGGCGTGGCATCGGCCATCAGAGCCCTCAACAGTGTCATGGCCTGACCTCCGGCGGCCCAGGGTGGCCTGACCATGCCTCACACTAACATCCGAAGCCCCAGACGGCCACGTCTCGCCGCGTGGTGTGCGCGAGAGGCCGGCCGCCCGCTGCCGGCGGCTGACCGGGCGGCTGTCGGTGCCGGCAGGTGGTCGGCGCGCTCGGCCTGGACCTGGACGCGGCCGCCAAGTTCGAGCTCATCTGCGCTGGCTGCGCCGCGCTCGTCAGGTGAGCCGCCGCTCGGCCGCCGCTGGAGGCCGCTGGCGGTGGAGGAGACCGCTGGAGGGGGAGGAGGCCACTACAGGCCGCTGGTGGTGGAGGAGACTGCTGGAGGGGGAGGAAGCCGCTGATGGGGGAGACGAGGTTGCTGGAGGCCGCTGGCGGTGGAGGAGGCCGCTGGGGGGGGGGGGGGGGGGGAGGAGGCCACTGCAGGCCGCGGGTGGTGGAGGAGACCGCTGGAGGGGTGGAAGCTGCTGATGGGGGAGATGAGGTCGCTGGAGGCCGCTGGTGGGGAGGCCGCTCCAGTCCGGCGGGCCCTGCGTCATGTTTGTTGCATCGCTCGCGTGGCCGTCATGTTCGCCTATGCCAAGCAGTGGCAGGTAGTGAGTGATGACTGTGAATACGATGACCGGTATATGTGGCATCGCTCCGTGTGGTATGACATCCTGTCGCTTTACGTGGTGCGGCATCTCCCGCCGCCGTGTGCTATGCCGTCTTACCCCTCAGTGGCTGTCTGTGTGCCGGCGCAGTCCCGTCGCGTACGGGAGAGCCGGCCGGGACTGGCGCCAGCTGACGTAGTGACGGGTACTCGCGGCCGCGGACCGCACGCTGGCGTGCTCTACCGACGTGTAGCGCGCTCTCCGGATGGCCGCCAGCTGGCCTCAGCAGTCGGCGCACCCTTAAGCACCGGTAGCTAGCTACTCCAATATCTACTCTGAGCATACTGCTACCGCCAAAGGCGCCACATTTGAGTGATTACGCGCGCCACACGCAAATCGTAAGGCCGTGTTGTCGCGCACGTTTTGTAACACGGGGAGTTAGGTTGCTGGCCTGGCGGCCTCTCTAAGCCCTCAGGGCGGCGAGCGTAGGACAAATGTCCCGCGCGTACCCGCCGCGCACATCTTGGACCTGCCGTGCGTCTGACACTGCCGCCCGCCGCCGCCGCCGCAGGCAGCTGGAGGAGGCGGAGCAGACGGCGCTGCGGCTGCGGCAGGAGCTGCTGGAGCGGCTGCAGGCCAGCCGGCAGCCGCCGCCCGGCCAGACGGCGGCCGAGCAGCGCAGCCAGGAGCAGAGCCAGCAGCAGGAGGCGCTGCAGGCGCTCTCGGCCGACCGGCTGGACGGCCTGTTCGGCGTGAACGGCGTGAGTGGACCGGCGCTGGCGCGGCTCGCGCTCGCCGGCGTCACGGGACGCGGGGGCTCCGACGACGGCGCTCTCCAGCAGGCCGCTGGTTGCTGATATTATAAGAGCTCGTAAGGGAGTTACTGGGTCCGAAGCGGCGGGTGTGCGCGAGCCCCTTTATTTCGGGAGGAGAGGAGAGGGGGGGGGGGGGGGGGGGCGCTTGTCACGCAGAGAAGTGTGTGATGCCTTGTGGCTCATGCTATTTTGCCGAAGTTCATGGCGAAGCATAAGTCTCCGTCCCTCTGCCCAACGCCCATGTGTCCCGGGGCACACTTGTTGGATCTGTTCAACGTGAGCGCCACTTGGTCAGACGAACTCCGTTTGGTGCGTTCCTGGAAGTCGTGTGGCGATGAGGTTCGATGTTCATATCGATGTTCGAGCTCTGAATTCGTTCTCATGGCCAGCAGTGATGCTGAACTCGGGTGGCACTTGACTGCTTTTTTTTTGCTTATGCTCGCTGTCACCTACACTGGAAATGTTGCTAGTTAGTTAATGTGTATGCATGACAGCTCCGCTATTCGCCAACACCGTGTAGTTCGCGTTGAGTGGCGCCGGCAACCTAGCCACTGACTGGCTGACTCGGGTTTCGTCGGTTGTCCCAGTGCGTGGTGGCTGAAATCGTCAGGCTTTTAAAGCCTCGATAACTAACCCAACGACTGCCATCCAGCGGCCGCGTGACCTCGCGTGACCTCGCGCCTCTCGCCGGCAGCTGGGCGTGCACGTGGTGGACGGGCCGGCGGCGACGACGGTGCGCCGCCGCGGCCGGCCGCCCGACCCGCTGCCGCGCGAGGAGGACACGGTGGAGGCGTACCTCTCGCGGCGCGACGAGTGGATCACGCAGACGCCGGGCGCCGCCGCCAGCCTGGTGAGCGCCGTCGTCGCCGCGTCGGCCGAGGGCGTCGACGGCCGGGCCGAGGCACGCGCCGACACGCACCCGTGCGCCGAGTGCGAGCGCGTGTTCAGCTCGGCCGAGGGCCTGGCGCGCCACGAGTACTTCCGGCACCGCGCGACGGAGCGGCTGGCGCCGGTGGGCGACGACGGCGACGAGCCGGCGGCCGGCGACGGCCGGCCGCTGCCCGTCCAGGCCGTGCTCGGCGACGGCGACGACGAGGCGGCGGCGGCCGACGAGGACGACGAGAACGAGCTGGACGAGCCGTACGAGCCGGAGGAGGCCGACGACGACGAGCCGGAGCCGGAGGAGCCGGCGCCGAAGCGCAAGCGCGGCCGGCCGCGGCTCTCGGACAGCCACGTCCTGCGCTCGGGCGCCTGCGAGTACTGCGGCAAGTTCATCAAGGTCGACCTGCAGGGCCACGTGAACCGGTTCCACACGATGGTGTGTCCGCACGAGTGTCCCACGTGCGGCAAGCGGCTGGTGAGCCGCCACGCGCTGGCCGAGCACCGCCAGGTGGAGCACAGCGCCGGCCACGCCTGCGAGCACTGCGGCGCCGCTTTCGCGCGCAAGAAGCAGCTCTCGATGCACCAGTGGCGCAAGCACGGCGTCGGCGGCGTGCAGTGCCGCGTCTGCGGCAAGAAGTTCGCGCGCTCCGACACGCTGGACGGCCACATGCGCTGCCACGAGCGGCCCATGCAGTGCAGTCTCTGTCCGTCGCGCTTTCCGTTCAAGCGCGAGCTGCGCAACCACGAGCACCTCAAGCACGGCCTGCACGGCGAGATTCCGCGCGACAGCGACTACCGGCCGGGCGAGATGTACCGCTGCGGCAAGTGCGGCCGCTGCTTCGGCTCCTGGGCGGGCCGGGACCGGCACGTGTGCGACAGCAGCGCCGCCCTCTCCGACCTGTACGTGTGCCAGCTGTGCGGCGACTGGAGCACGCGCTTCGAGGGCGACATGGTCAAGCACATGCGCAACCTGCACAAGATCGAGGCCGAGACGATCCTGATCGCTGACGTGGAGGAGGACGGCGACGACGCGGCCGCCGGCGAGGATGACACGCTGGTGGCGGCGGCGGCGGCGGTGGCCGAGGCGCAGTAGCGCGAGACGCGGCGGTGGCGGTGGCGGTGGCGTCTCTCCTCCTGCCGGGGCCGGGCGCGGCCTGGTCTCGCCGCTGTGCGCTGGACGTCAGCCTGGGGCCGAACCCTTGTCGTTTGCCGGCGCGCGGGAAGCACACATCGCTCGCCTTGAGGCCGCCCGCTGAGTGGAGAGGGGGGGGGGGTCCAGTGGTCGGGTCACGGGGGCGCCGCGTGCAGGAACGCTGGCGTATGGCCCCGGCAGTGAGGCTGTTTGTGTTCGGTTTTATTGGTCGCCTTGCGTTGAGTATCGTTTCGTGTTCGGCGGCGCGCTTTGGAAAGTTTGATTTTTTGCGCAAGCAACGTTTAATGGCGCTGTTATGAAATACCGTTCTCTGCTGTTTCCATTGTGTATCTTGTGATGAACCGTGTGCGCCCCGTTCTGCACATACACTGAAGTCAAATAAAAGTGCAGAGAACAATCGTCGCTCTTTTCGAAACGGCTGCGGCATTCTCAGCCGAGAAACGCCCAAGTTGGCCACTTTTAATCCCCCTACCTCATTTCGTCTGCAAGTCGTTCCAGCTAGGATACTGAACTTCGGCATGTTTTCTTGAATGCTAGTTTTCATACCCATACGACGCCGCCAAATGGAGTCGGCGGCTTGCCTGGTGGGGAGAACGTGGAGGGGGGGGGGGGCGGCATGTCGAGACAAGTCTGGAGTGCTTCTAGAAGAATCAGCAGACTGATGAAAGGTGAGTTCTCAAGACATCAGGCATATGACTTACAGCTTTTTACCATGTCTATTGAAGCAAAGACAGCCATAGGTGGGGGTAGAGGGGGCGCAGAAATAGCAGTAGAGCAATGAGTGGAGATTCTTTTCGGCGCTGAAGTGCTGCGTCTGGCATGTGTATCACATCCACAATCCACAGCTTAGTGGATCACGGCTCCCGAAGAGCCAGGGTGTTGCCTGGTACGAATGCTGTTATCGCCGTATGAGGGAGACGGCGAATGGTGCCATTCGCGTTGTTGTGCATCGGTTCACATACGCTCTTTTATGGGTCTGTTATCACCGAGATCATGCAAACATCACTGCTAGATAGGTTTGCGTCATTATCCTTGAGCTCGCAGTTGTGTAGACACCAAAACAGGGTCTGTGTGTGCACCACTGAGGTAACGGCAGTGTAAATATGGAAACAGGTGTAACAAATGCCTTCGTTGGCTTTATCCAGACCAACACATCGTTCCGCTTTTCCAACCTTTCGGGTCGTGAGTGCATCCTTCACTTTCTATGTTCTGAAATATCTGAGTTGTTTAGAAGAAGCTTACGTTTTTGACACGGCACGAAATCGGGACGGTATACTTTAACATTTAATGATTTGAATCAGCGAATTCCTCGTGGAATGCGAGCGAAATCCACCGAATGAGAACTGGATTGTGTATTTTGACTTCCCTCAACTAAAACTATTCTCATATTCCTCAATTGTTCGATGGGAACTCAAAACAAGCGTAGTTACGCGAAACAACTGACATACAAATGTTGCCCAGAACAGCGAATTTCGATGTAGAACATTTACGTTTGCGAGTCTGGGGCACCTCGCAGCTGCTATTCTGGCGATACGGGGACCGATGCGCCCTTGGCGATCCAAAATCCCCAGAGGGATGCATCATACACCGGTTCCATTCCGGCTGCGGCAGGCCCTTTGACCGAGCATCTGGCACTGAATCGACGCAGCGGCTCTCACTGATGCAGAAGGGTCCCTTACCGGCGCAGGAAGCCCAACAACTGTGGCACTGTGACACCGATTCGGCCCATCGGCCCCTTATTGGAACGGTGCGGAGGACACCTCGATCGGTACCAAATCCTTTGACTGACACAGGCCACTGTTTCACTGTGAGTGCCAACTCTTGCAACGTAATTTCTCACGTCTTCTTTCATTGTCAAGAGGGACCTACTGCTGATCAACGCTTTTGGCATTTGCGGTCCCGCTCCTGTCCCTGTTCAGCAAACGAGTCCCTGACTCGTTCCCGACATGGGGTCCCTGTTGGGAACTGTGATCCCCTGATCAGGATGAGGTTTTTACTTTTCAGGGACCTGATCAATGCAAGTGATTACTGACTAACGTTTGTAGGCATGGTCCTGGCCCCACTTGAGAAAGGAGCCCCAGGGCCTGAACTGGCTCGGAATCGACCGCTCGATATTGGTGATCTTGTTCAGCTGACTGACATGGAGATCCTCACTCTCCCAAGGGCCCCGAAAGGGACAAGATGGCATGCAACTGACTTTTGAAGGGCCGACCCTGAGGAAAACGCGAAATCAGGCGCCTAAAACGATCTTGCGCGTTTTAGGCGCCGATGCGATATCCTCGGGATTGCTTTCGGTAAAACTCGAAGTCACTCGCTTCCCTGTTGATATCTAGCACCACTAACGGTCTGGCGTGCTAGCGCTGAGTGAGTGAGCTGTAGACGGCACGTGTGACGGCATGGCGTAGTCGGCTCCACGTCGTCTTCTGCTCAGCTCGCCGAGATGTGACAATGTTGAAAACAACGATCCAAAACCGTCAAGACTTGCATTCGTGTCTAGCGCACGTGCGTGGCTGTGCGTATCGATTTTCCCTTTGCCAGTGTGGTTGTCCATTCTTTTAACGAGTCGAAATAACCTGTGCGCGATGCGCCAGGATTGCTTACTGCCCAGCTTTGGACCGGGTTTCAACACGTGTTGCGGTACTTGTGCAGCGTGCGAGTTTCGCGTCTTTCACGCTGCAACAATGGGTTGCGTTTGCAGCCACCGTCGGCACACGGCACCGATCGGGTTTGGTCCCATATTTGACGCGCGATTGGGCAAGTAGGGGATTTGACACCTTTTTTGATTTGACAGGGGATATGCAGTTTTTTCGACGACAGCTTCCAAACTGCAGAAATTTTGGCGCGTATCCGCGCCAAACTTTGTACAGTCATTGTACAACTTTGTACATGGTTTTCTGCCAAGGCGCTTCCTCGGGAATCGGTCACTCTGACGCGACAACGGAGTGTTTGACAAAGTCATACATTCCAGAGGAAAACGCTCAAGTCCACACAGGTTTCGTGCGGTTTTACAATATGGGTGGCTGCAGCGATTGCCACTTACTGGTGGCGGCCTGGCAGAACCTCACATATGGAACGAAGATACGAACAGTTTTCCAGCTTTGCATAGCCGATGTCGGCATGTGACTGTTCCTCGTTACCCCTACATCGAGAGGCGTCAGAACCAGCGCCGGGATGCTGAGCTGGCTTCCACTATGTCAAAACGCGTCAATAACCAGGCGTGCTATGCGAAAACACCGCATCGCCCAATCATACTTCCGGGCGCGTTGAAACCTTCTCCAAATCGCCTTCAGGCATTGTCCGGTGCCCTGACGCCGCCGGACAGACCAATTTCTTCCGCTGACGAAAAGCCTCCCGCCACAGCCACCGAGCCTCGCGGCATTTCCATTTGAGCACCTCCACCAACGGTCGTTCGATTTTCCGACGCGTTGGCCGCCGCCGCCAGGCCGTGCGGCATAATCCGACCATCAATTCGATGCTTCCGGCGCACTCAGAGGCAGCACATTGGATTCATTAGGTGCTCGCCAGTCCCGCGGGCCCAGATAACGACGCGGCGTCGATGGCGACGAGGTTAATCACCCGATGGTCGGGTGGACCCGGTACCCGGCGAAAAACGGGCGCGTGGGCCGCTGGGGGCCGCCATAAACGGAGCCCTGATGCGCTCGCTCTGCATTGCTCGATAGGGGGGGGGGGGGGGGAAGGGGGGAGGGGGGGAGTTCATAGCCTGATTACATTGCGGGAGCATTGGATGCTGCCGAATGGCTTGCATGGGCTGTAAATAAATCCCAGGGCACCTCGGAAGGTCCGGATTACTGACCGGCGGCAGCGCATTTACTGGTGTTAGTGTCACGATGCGCCATGAATGGTGCATTTGGGGTGATTGCTACTGCAGTCGAATGCCAGAGACTTGCCATACCATCGAGTGAACTTACAAGTGAACTTACAAGCGAACTCACAAGAGTGAAGTTACACCAGCAAACAAACGCTGCTCCAACAGCCCAGTTGCGACTAAACGGGCTCCGTAGGAAAAAATTTGCTGCCGCCCAAGTGAAACGCAATGGTGGCTAGTGTTTTTGGACAACGCGCATTTGGGTGGGGGTCAATTTGACCCCTCCCAAACATTTTTTTTCGGAATGGTTTCCGAATGGCGCGGCTACGTCAAATTTTGCATGACCGTAGACATTTGAATGACGGATCGTTTGGTGGCTGAAATTTAGGTGCACCTTGTAAGGTCGCTGACCTATGGCAGGCCAAAGTCGGGCCATGGATTCAGCGAAGACAATTTCTTCAATACATCTTCCACGGACTTCTTGAAGTCAGAATAGGTGACTGACCTAAAATAAACTAGGCCAAGAGCCGTTTCGAAACGTACCGCCTAGCGTATTATTTCATGCTTAATCAATGCAAAGCTCGAAGCAGCCTTATATAATGTTAGCCATCATGGCCTTCGGAAGGTCAATCAAAGCCACCGACCTCGAATGGGCACCACTGACCTTTTGCTCACAACGGATATCTAGATTCATGGAGCACTTGTATACAAATCTGAAGTTCGACCTTGTTTGGCCTTATTTGCCTCAAGGATCATGACCTAGGAACCTCAAATTGTGACACCAGTGAGGTAACGTACAAGCCAACACACCCTGTGAGTTTTGTGTCTCTAGCTCTCTTTAGTTCAGATATGAACAGCTCGACCATGATATTTGCATTGGCCTTGATCGCCGCATGACGAACGCAATGACAGGATTTTAATGACATTATTATGTCATCATGGATGCCTGAGTGACCTCGAAAAAGTCTTCCCAAAAATATGCATATCTTCGCAGGTGTTTATCTACAAAACCTAGAGGGGCTTATGTTTTAAGAAGGGCAGGACTGTGAACTGCACCGGATCATCTTCAAGACGGCTATTTCAGTCCAAACCCTCTCTCAAATGT